ATTGTTATAATGCCAATTTACAATGATGCATAGTGACGCCACGACAACATCATTCCCATCACACACACACACACACACACACACACACACACACACACACACACACACACAAACAAATAAACATAAGTTCCGTCCTGATGTGTTGCTTTTCATCATGACATCATGTATTTACTGGTTCCACTGGTTCAGACTCAAGCTGAACAACATTCTGTCGACAGCGCTCTAAAACTCTAACGTCACACAAACAACAGATTCAATGATTCTACGTTAACCACAAACCCTCAGGGTGAGTGTGTGTCTGTCCATGTTGTTGTGTAAGACTTTAATCATCGCTGACTTGTTTTTGACACCGTGTGTGTGATCTGGGTCTTTTGTGTTCGTGTACCGTGAAACACTGAGGACAAGACACAAACAACAGTGACCTTAAACATTAATAACGGGTTTGACAGATTGTGCAGGAATCTATTGTGTCTGACGTCTGAGGCATAGTCCATAAATTAAGACTCTTGAGTCTTTGCTTGGCAACTTATTCATTAAGATTTTTTCTGCAGCTTAATTACGTTCAGTCTCGGAGCCCGGTGGCTCGGTCGTGTGACAACAAATTCATTTCTGGCAGCAACTTATTCGCCTCCACGTGACCTTTAAAGAATAATAAACGCAGATGTTTCAGTGGTGAACCTTCACCTCCCGTTGACTTTAAATCCCCGGGGGTGAGGGATCTTCCTCTGGCGAGCGAGGCAGCGTATAGAGCTCAACTTTAAATCACGATGTTCGCCTTGCCTTTGTGTGACGGTGCGCTCGGTGGTACACGATGGATGTGATCCTGTTCGCCTGAAATCTATTTTTGTTACGTTAAATCCAGGAAATAAGAGGAGGGAACAAAAATATGTCATTTGAAACCAGGAAAGAAAAAGACAGATGAAGAAAGATGATTTGTGGAACTCTCTCAAAACTTAAACCAAAGATGATGCCACAGAAAGCAACGCCAACGAGATCAGGTCAAAGGAAACGACGAGTTGCACCGTCCAGGAGGGACAATCACCTCCTGGCTGCACACACACGTTCAACATAACTTTTATTTTGACCCTTCTTTCAAACCAGTTTCAAATAAATACAGATTGTAAAGCTGCATGTTTCTGAATGAGATTCTCTATGAATGAACGGCAGCAGACGATAGAGGAGCAGTGATAGAGGAGCAGTGATAGAGGAGCAGTGATAGAGGAGCAGTGATAGAGGAGCAGTGATAGAGGAGCAGTGATAGAGGAGCAGTGATTTGTGAGCTGCTGACTCTGCTGAAGATAAAATACCTCAGCTCTTATCAGTGGAGGTGTTAATGGACTGTACTGTTCTAACGGTGCCAATGAAACATTAAAGATTACAACGAAAAGAAATGACGCGACTTTGGAATCAGATCGTTCTTCAGGTGACTGACCCACATTATTGAAATTTAGGGACTTTGTGACTTTGTGAGAAACACGACTTCATCCGGACACAGAGACAAACGGCTTTTTCCTCTTTTTCAACACAAACTTGAATTAATGTGTTTGTTCTAATGTTGTTTTATCTGGTTTTTGAAGCATTTTCAGTTTGTTATCGTCACCTTCACACTTTAACACTGACCACGTGCATTAGAGGAGACTTTACTGATCACGTGTCACATTCTGGATCATTGCACTGAAGATAGAAAAATGATTTACACTAAAATAATGAAGAAAGAGCACAAAGAGATGTAATGAAGCAATGAAACACGGACGTATCAAAGGTGAGGCCTTATCTGTGTGTGTGTGCGACACACACTCATGCAGGGTCCAGTCGGACAATAACCCACGACTGGACGTCAGCGCTGATGAGGACACTGATTGCTGAAGGATAAAGTCAACGAGAATTTCCTGCAGTTTCCTGAAAGTTTCACACGTCACTGAAACTACGTCAGAAACTGCATGTTCAGAAAAACACGAGTAAACTGCCTGTGAATATGTGATTTAATGAGAAAAGTACTGAGTCTCGTTGATTAGATTTAAGGGTTTCACTAAGTTATTTTCATGCAATCGGTGACATGAACATTTGTTCGAAATCTGCAGTCACAACATTTTCATTGTCTCTGCTCACATGTCGGCCTGCACACGAGGAAACACATTCAGAGGACGAACACGAGGAGACAGTCTCCGTCCTGACTGAAATATATCCTGAAATTAAAAAAACGTCCTGCCGCAGGACAGTGAAAAGCAGAATCACTCGAATGATCCTCGACTGATCTTTGGATTCAGCTTCAATCATCAACCTAATCACCTCGTTCATCATTTTACAACTCATCTGCAACCTTTTCATCAGCTCAGCCAAGTGAGCAGTAAAGCGGCCGGAGCGGTGTTTGTCTGACGGGCACAGAGTCAAAGTGTGAGGCAACACAGTGAGCGTCAGAGAGCGGAGAGACGGACTGATAGTGGAGCTGGTGATCTGATAAACCCCCCCCCCCCCGAGGCCGGAGATGGAACCAGAGGAGAGTCACTCACTGTGAAGCTGATGACTCACTTTCATTCACTGATCACTCACTGATCACTGACAGTTTCACCACCGACCGATCTCACCAGCTCACCTGACGACTCAGAGTTTCTCTCAGGTGAAGACTGAAGCTGATCAAGTCTCAGGATTTTAAATTCCATCCAACCAGGTCTCAAGATATCTGAGTTCGAATCCGGTCTCAGCTCAGGTCAAAGGTCAGGGGACAGGGGACAGGTCCACACAAATCTCTTTTGTCTTCATATATGTGAGACTGAAATCCTTCCAGACAACAAGTCAACCCTTCAATTCTTCACTTTCAAATCCAAACTTCAAACATTTATCTCTTATCTCTCATATAACTGATTATTTACACTGAATACTCACATTTATTTACCGTATGATCGGTTTTATCGTTCTATTTTCCTGCTTTAGTTCTTTCTGTCTTTCTAAACTTCCCTGGGATCATCTATGATTTCATTTACAAACACAATTCAATTGAATTGAAAAACTCCAAAAAGTTCAAATCCAGTCGCGACCCGGGTCAGATCAAGTCTTTAAGACGAAATTAGATTTTCGTTGTTTTACTGACGGGTCCAACTTTTAACTTATTGAATTTAAATCCAAGTCTCGAGTCCAGACACTCGTCCAAGTCAATGAAAGTAAAATCCACGTCTGTCCTCGTTGTTGTGACGTCTACGGCTTCGATTTATGTCTGTTTCTTTTAAATGTGTGACGAGTGCCTGGCAACTCGATAAAAGTAAAAACGTGTAGTACACACAGTATCTAAATATGTATATATATCAGTATACAGTATCTACATTTATGTATATGAGGCGATATCCACTGATTTGTTCAGTCAGTCTCCAGTCCTCAGTGTTGGAGGCACACGAGGTAACAAATAGGGTCTTTGTCTCTTTTTATCTCCTTCCCTCTTTCCTTTTTTCTCTCCTTCCCTTGTTTTATTTTCTCTTGAACATTATTAAGCTGTAACACATATCAGTTCTTATCTTTCTGTTTCCAGGAGGTTTTGAAACTCACTGAGTCCTGATTACTGAAGAGGTCACGTCTTCAGGGCGGGTTCAGTATATTTAGTTTTGACTGATGAACATCTGCTGAACAAAAAGAAAGAAAACCTGTGATAAAGAAATTAAAATTAAAATAAAGATAATAGCAAAGATGTTTTTCAGTCAGACGACTAAATAAGGAAATAGAACAGGATGTTTGGAATGCAGAAGTGCGGTATTAAAAATAAATCTTCATCGTCATCTCGTTGTTATTGTCATGTAATAGTGTGAAACTTTGAAAATCACATGTGCAGTTTTCTGATCAAGCAAAATGAGAATAATTTGTGTATTAATCTGAATCACAATATAAATGATCTCAAGCTGCTTTATACAGATCTGGAGGTTTTACAGGTGCAGGTTGATTAATGACAGATTTTGATCATTTGTAGT